CATAATATTCTCTCTTAAGGCATTACATGCCGTAAATTTCATACCTGTGGTCCACAACTGTTCCCAGTCAGCAAACATAATGTTATGTCCTACGTCCTGTGCCCATTTAATCATAGCCGATTTTACCGTTTCATCCTGAGTATTCCATTTCAGCAGCAAGTTATACATTCTTGACAAATTCTTAGTTTTGGGTTCTAACAATTCTGTTTCTAATTTTGATCTTTCCACCTGGAAACCAATTTTCCTGTCCAATTTAAATGCTTCCATTATCTGATAATAATGAAGCCAGTCTCGCACTTTGTTTTTTAGTTTTTCAAAACTCTGCAATTTCAGTCTATCTCCGTCTTGTTCCAAAATTTCCCAATATTTCGGCCATTTGACCTCCATATTGACCTTTTTCAAGGCTTTCGCTTCCATTGGTGACAGCCACCTTGGGGTTTTGTTTTCTAGCAAATCCTTATATCTTAACCAAACATTAAATAGCGCTTTCCTGACAATGTGGTTTCTAAATGCTTTATGTGCTTTGACCTTATCATACCATAAATATGCATGCCATCCAAATACATTGTTAAAACCTTCCAAATCCAAAATGTCAGTGTTTTCAAGAAGTAGCCATTCTTTCAACCAGCAAAAAGCTGCTGATTCATAGTAAAGTTTAAGGTCTGGCAGGGCAAATCCACCTCTTTCCTTTGCATCCATTAAAATTTTAAATTTTATTCTGGGCTTCTTGCCCTACCAGACAAATTTAGAAATATCTTTCTGCCACCTCTTGAAACAATCCATTCTGTCGACAATCTGCAAAGTTTGAAACAAAAACAACATTCTAGGCAATACATTCATTTTTATTGCAGCAATACGGCCTAGCAGTGAAAGCTTCAAATTTAACCAAATTTCTAAATCTTTTTTCACTTCAGACCAACATTTTTCATAGTTATCTTTAAATAAGTTCCCATTTTTTGCTGTCATGTTGAAACCTCTCTCTTTCAAACGGTGTTAAATTTTTCTCTAAAACCTTGGTTTTTGACTTGTTCAATTTAAATCCTGCCACTTGACCAAATTCCTGAATCAGTTCTAAAACTCTTTTAGTACTAGATTCTGGCTCCTGTAACGTCAATACTAAGCCATCTGCAAACACTCTCAATTTGTACTGTTTAGTTCCGACCTGGAGTCTGTATAATTCCTAGGCCTGTGGGATCCCCAGCTGCCTTAAACATCACAAAATCCACCAGCGTCTGTGTTTATTGTAAATTCAAAGCTTGCTGAGGATGTTAGCACTGGTTCTTCATAGAATCGTACAATTGGAAGGGATCCTGAGCGTCATTCAGACCAACCCCCGGCCATGAAGGAATCTCAACTCAAGCATCCGAGACAGATGGTCATTCAGCCTTTTTATTCATTTATATTTTAGTTTCTTAGCACAAGAAGGGCTAACTTGTTTAGAAATAAACATGTGCACCATGCTTTTCTGCCAGACAGCCCCCAGTACCAAAGGGGCAACCCAACAAACAGCGCAATATAGATAGCTAGATAGCAGAATCAAAGAATAATTTTGTTATGTACTGAGTTGAATAGGATCCAAAATGCAGCAGTCTGATTGGTCCTAGGACAATAGGATCCAGAATGCAGCAGTCTGATTGGTCCACAGGAGCCACCCAATCCAGCTCCAGGTGGAAGTGAATTCACAACCTGATTGGCCTACAGGAGAATCCCGGAATTAGCCAATCACGTGGGGCCCATTGTGTAAATAATGTATATAAGGCAGACATTCTGGGGGAACTTCCATTCCTCCTCACCACTATGAGCTGAATAAAGAGCATGAAATCCACTCTTGACTCCGAGTATATTTCAAATTTCAAGAAGGATGGTTCAGAAAACATAAGCAGTCTTGGGGCCATGGGTTCGAGTCCTGCTTTGGGCAAGATTCCTGCATTGCAGGGGGTCCCTTCCTATGATCCTGTGTGCCATGAGCTCCTTAGCGGAAAGCTGAGGTGTGAATGCAATAAATAAAATCACAGCCTGCTCCTTGACAGAACTACTACTGCAGACTTCCCCAATTCTCTAGGTCTGTGCTTACCTTTTTTAAAATACTAATAATAATTTTTATTGAATGGTTTTATGTTACAAAAAACAATACAGCCATACTACCACTAAATATAATTAAGAAATAAAAAATTACATACCTTGATATTTAGTTTGTTATTTGTTATTTACCGTCTTATTTCCTCCCAAACGTTGCATACAACAACACACATATGTGCAGACACCCACACACCCACACAGAAAATGATAATAATGAAAGTAAATATTTTCCCCCTTTTATCTTCCAAAATCTTTTCTTCAACTTTGACTTCCTGTCAAGTCCCTTTGCATATGTTTTACCTTACATTCGAATGTACACAAAACAATAAACCTTTCTATATAATTTTTCTAATACATTCTGAAAACATAATAAATCCTTAATTGTAATCTACCTCCTTTTAGTTCCTTTATCATTTGAATGCTAGCACGGAGTCAAAACTATTATTGTATTTTTGAACATATTTTTTATAAACATCCCATTTTTCCGCTAATTTTTGCTTTGAGTTTCCTCTGAGTTTGCTAGTCAATTGAGCCATCTCCACCAATTCCTGTAATTTGATTTGCCAATCTGCTATTTTTGGAGCCTCGTGATCTTTCCATCCCTTGGCCACAAGTATACGAGCCGCTGCGGTTGCATACAAGAATACCTCTCTTAGATTTTTTGGGATCTCTTTATCTAAAATACTTAATAGAAATGCCTCCAGTTTTTTAGTAAAAGTTATCCCCATCATCTTTTTTAATTCATCGTATATTTCCCCCCAAAAAATCTTAATCTTTCCACACGTCCACCACATGTGGATCATGTCACCATTATTTCCTCCACATCTCCAACAAGCATTCGCCAAATTTTTATACATTCTTGATCATCTGGAAGGAGTGAGGTACCACCTATGAGCCATTTTCATCATGTTCTCTCTTATATTATAGCTGGCTGTAAATTTCAAATTTACCTTCCATAAGTTTTCCCAATCTTTTAGCATAATTGGACGGCCCAGAAACACCATAACCAATGGCAGATGAAAATGATGGACTATATGGAATTGGCGGAAATGACTGGCAGAATCCGAGACCAGGGAGAAGAGTCGGTGGAAGAAGATTGGAAGAAATTTAAAGACTACTTACAGAAATATTGTAAAATTAATGAATGTTAGAATGATGACGGATTGAAGTTAAGCGGTTTCTAGCAGTAATGGTTAAAAGAATTGGAAAAATTGATTTTTAATAGGTAAAAATTTAATGTTATAATAAATTAAGATTAAAGATCAGGATTAAAAGGAGGAAAGGAATTGCTGGACTAACAAACTGAATTGGAATACAAAAGAGGGAGGTATGAGGAGGTCTGGGAAACAAGTAAACGTAAAAGAAGTGATGAAAAGACGGAATTGTTTTTAATTGTTTTTTCTTTTTCCTTTTTGTATTTTGTATTGTGTATTTTTCTTTTTATTGTTAATTTTTTTTATTAATGTGATCCTTTTCTTGTGAAATTTTAATAAATATCATTTTAAAAAGAAAGAAAGAAAGAAACACCATAACCAGACACTGGAGAGACCTGTCAGGAGTAAACATGGACCAATGGTACCAAATAGTATGGGAAACAGCCCTACTAATAAAATTAACCAATAAACTGAAACTGACACGGGGACAAACAGAAGACGCCGCCTTCACCCCGGTATGGCTCCCCTTTATCACATACACAGCCCAACAGGACAATGACCATAATCCACCAACAGCATACAAATCAATATGGCTAACCTGATCCAAAACACCCACCCACCCCACTCACACACGAAAACAAAGATCACAAGCAAACAATCACACCCTAGGCCAACCCCAACCTCTCTCACCACCAAAGGAACACAAGTGAACAACACAAGCAACGCTGACACCAAACTCTACATACATTAAGCATAATAGAAACACCGCCACCCGACCCCACCCCCATCCATCTTCCCTCTCTCCACCCCCCTTTCTTTTTTCCTTTTTTTCTTCTCCCCCTAATGCCTCGACAAATGAAACGGATTTGTAAAAAGGTTACATGGGGGGAAAAAATGAGGCATTACACTTACTTCTGTAAAACAAGAAAATCCTTAATAAAATATTCAACATCAAAAATATAATAATAATGAACTAAAAAAGGTATTTAAATATACCTTCTTGAAGAAACCAGAGGCCTTTCTCCTGGGCATAGTCGGCTAATCGGTGTTAAAAAAGGATAGAACTTTCTTTATGTATGCTACAACAGCAGCAAGAATACTCATCGCAAAGTATTGGAAGACACAAGAACTTCCCACTCTGGAAGAATGGCAGATGAAACTGATGGACTATATGGAATTGGCGGAAATGACTGGCAGAATCCGAGACCAGGGAGAAGAGTCGGTGGAAGAAGATTGGAAGAAATTCAAAGATTATTTACAGAAATACTGCAAAATTAATGAATGTTAGAATGATGTTGGATTGAAGTTAAGTGGTTTCTAGCTGTACAGGCACAAAAAAATATGGAAAAATTGGTTTTTAATATGTAAAAGGTAAAATCTAAAGTTATATTATATCAAGATTAAAGATTAGGATGAAAAAGGAGGAAAGGACTTGTTGGATTAACATATTTAATTAGAATACAGAAGAGGGAGGTAAGAGGAGGTCCGGGAAATAAGTAAACGTAAAAGAAGTGAGGAAAAGATGGAATTGTTTTAAATTGTTTTTTCTTTTTACTTTGTATTTTTTCTTTTTATTGTTAACTTTTTCTTTACCAATGTGGTTTTTTTTGTTTTTTTTTCCTGTGAAACTTTAATAAATATTATATATATAAAAAACAATAATAATAATAATAATGATAATTATTATTATTATTATTATTATTATTATTATTAGACGGCCCACATCTTGTGCCCACTTTATCAATGAAGCCTGAGGTCTGTGCTTACCTTAGAAGCTCCTGCAGCCGCGCTCACGGGGACCTTCAGAAACCAGAAGTTCCCGTTCTTCAGCAGGTCCTCCATGGTCTCCAGCCTCTTCTGCAGCTGCCCATACTCCTGCAGGAGAGTCTCCAGCGCTGACCACCGGCTGTCCAGCTGGCTGCCCAGTTCGGCCACGGCCTTCTCGCAGTCCCCAAATCTCTTCTCGGCTGCCTCGGACCTCTGCTCCAGGCTGAGGAGCCGAAGGGCCTGAGCCTCCACCGTCCGCTCCACCGCCTGGACAGCGCCAACCACCGTCCACAGAGAAATCGTGGCCGTCTGCGCCTCTTTGGGGAAGGCGGCATCCACGACAGGAGCAGCCAGGACTTCTGAACTCCACCTTGAAGACTGGAAGGAAATAAAAAAAATTGCCCAGTAGTACCTTAGAGACCAGGGACGCGGGTGGCGCTGTGGGTTAAACCACAGAGCCTAGGGCTTGCCGATCAGAAGGTCGGCGGTTCGAATCCCCACGACGGGGTGAGCTCCCGTTGCTCGGTCCATCCTCCTGCCAACCTAGCAGTTCGAAAGCACCTCAAAGTGCAAGTAGATAAATAGGTACCACTCCGGCGGGAAGGTAAACGGCCTTTCCGTGCGCTGCTCTGGTTCGCCAGAAGCGGCTTAGTCCTGCTGGCCACATGACTCGGAAGCTGTACGCTGGCTCCCTTGGCCAATAAAGCGAGATGAGCGCCAAAACCCCAGAGTCGGCCACGACCGGACCTAATGGTCAGGGGTCCCTTTACCTTTACTTTACCTTAGAGATCAACTATGCTTGTTCTGGGTATAAGCTTATACCCAGAACAAACTTAGTTGGTCTCTTAGTCAGTCAGTCAGTTTTATTGCACATAGCCAAAGGCTGCCGCAATGTACACAATTAAAATCGTTCAACAATTAAAAGAAAATATACTGGATTGATACAAAATACTTGAAACATTTATATTATCAAAACATTACCTACTCTAAACAGAGCTATAAAAGTACCTTAATATACAAGTTAAGACATTAAACAATAAAATTTATAAGCTAAAATTATCACATGGCCACTAATATATTAAAAAATAATGTTAATTAATACAATGTGCAATTATATTCGGAGTTTGGGGATAAAGATAGACTATAGCTATAGATAGACTATAGGGTCAAATAAACTCATCTCCTTTACAGTTGGTGGCTATCTTGGCTATATAATTTGCTCTAATTTTCCTAGCGGCAGTTGCAAAGAGTGCTACACGCCAGGTCACATACTTATCTGTGTCTGCGAGGAGATATAAAATCATGTCAGAGGGGTTCCAGAACAAACTCAGTTGGTCTCTTGGGTGCTACTGGACAATTTTTTAATCTATTTCGACTGCGTCAGACCAACATAGCTACCTACCTGAATCAAGGATGGAAGGAGTGAGGGGGTGGTCTCTTAACTCACCAAGGCAGTCCTTGCCAACCGGGCGCCGTCAAGTTGTTCTAAACTACAATTCCCATCAGCCCATGGCCGGACGGCACCCAGTTGGCAAGATCTGCAGCAAAACATCAGGTGAAAGGAAAATCACGCAGTTATCAACTATGGAACTCGCTTCCACAAGAGGCGCTGATGGCGTCCAACCTGCAGTGGCTTTACAGTGGAACCTTGGTTCTCAAACGGCTTAGTTGACGAACAAATTGGCTCCTGAACACTGAAAAGTAAGTGTTCGGAAGTAAGTGTTCCGGTTTTCAAATGTTTTTCGGAAGCTGAACGTCCGATGTGGCTGTCGGCTATTGTTTCCGGGGCACCTGCGCCAATCAGAAGCCGCACCTTGGTTTTGAAAGCACGTCCAAGTGCAAGTAGATAAATAGGTACCACTCCGGCGGGAAGGTAAACGGTGTTTCCGTGCGCTGCTCTGGT